TCAGATCGAATCGGACAGCAATCCTACGATTTGACGATCCAGCTCGGCGATCCCGAGCAATCCGAGCCTTTTCCAATCCAAAACACATTGGATGTGCACGGGTATTCTTGTGTCTTTCTATTGACCACTAATGTTGCAAAACATTAAAATTCCAACATAAGAAAAAACTTAAATGAGCCAAGGTTTTACCTTTTTCTAAAACAACTAGCACACGTATTCAAGGTCATAAAAAAATACTCGATAAAGTTTAGTACTCTAAGACAAAAAAGAATAGATGTGAAAAAAAAACTTAGAGGTGGTGTTGGGAAAGTATCATTCTATTACTAATGCAAAACAATCAGTGCATGAATAAAGATGTGAAGATGGTACACATTCGATATTCAAAAAGGGATAGACCTGGAATAAGGAGCAGTAATTGTCCCAGGAATCGATGCGCTGCTTGAGAGTCGGGGAGAGCCGAGCATAGAGGTGGCGAAACCACATTTCCCGGTAAAGCAGGCAGAAAACATGGTCGTTATCGACGTAAGGCGCGACGGCGTCGACGGAGGGCCAGGGAGTGTCCTTGAACATGCGCTCACTGAGGCTCTGGAAGGAAGTCTCGCACATCTGGTGGATCTCGTACACGTTCTTCTCCCTGATATGCCTGTACAGATGCCCCACGAACGACTTCACCGGGTCGGGTACGAAGCTCGGGTCGTAGGAGTTGGGTGCGGCGTCCGAATGCGGCTGTTTGGCCACCGAGTAGGCGTCGTCGTCATAGGAGTGTGAAGTCGCCATTGTCGATCGAGGTCTCAGATCGTCGCCGCCTATCTTCCTACGAAACTAGGGTTTATCACCCTATCAACCGAAGACGACGATGTCTGGAGTGAGTTTCCCGTTTTTTTGAAGCTTCCTGTGGGACTAATCTGACATGATAAGCCCAAACTTATTGGGCCTTAAAATACAAACGCCAGCATATCTCGCCCAAAAAGTCCAAAGTTATAGTAATGAGAAATAGATTTTAAGATGAGGCATTTTTACTTATTTTTATTTTAATAACTAGTATTTTGACTCGTGCTATGCACGGGATTAAATTATTTTTTTGAAACGAATTTGTAATTTTTCTTTACAGTAACATTTTTCAAAAATCGAACAAAATAAAAGATTGAACATAAAAGTTAAAATAATGATAAAGCATATAACATTTGCTAATGATAATTTTACTACATACATTTGAAAATTAATATGTCAAACTTGTAGCTAAATTAAAATAATTTGGAAATTTTTGAGGTATACAATAATTTTGTATAATGTTATAACTTATAACACCTTGGTTACCATGACATTGAGATTCAATGTCATAGGATAACACGAGGTTTATACGATGTTCCGTTCAAAAAATTTGTGGTTCCTATCCCTCTAACCCCACCGGTAAACCCCCCGGCCCGTACCAAACATACCCCTGCAGCCCTCGTCAATTGCATACCATAAGATTTAGTTGGCTTTGGAGTCAAAATTTGACTCTAAAGTCAACTAAATCTTGTGGCATGCAATTGACGGGGGTGTAGGGGTAGTGTTTGGGTCGGGCCGAAGGTGGGGGGGTTTACCGGGAAGGTTAGAGGGTAGGAAGCATAAATTTTTCGAAAGGAACATCGTAGATGCCCTAATCAGGGCTCATGTCATAGGATGACATGAGGGATTCATGTCACCCAAACCGCCCCCATGTTATAAAGACTACTAAAGGCATCTAAAAACAAATACTTTCAACTCTACTTTTATTGTCACTTGTGAGAGATCAATTTGTATAACATCAATATTATATTAACCATTAGCGAATGCTGACTTGATAAAATATAATCCTATAAATGACAATATTGGGCCTTAATTTTTGATTATAATCATAACGAACCATAAATTTTTAA